CCGTCTCCCTTTTCTGCGCCAAATCCAAACACCAGAGGGAGCCACTCAAATCCACATCTGCTTCCACACCCCTGCATTCAACCTTAAACAAATTACATTGAAGGTAAAGTTCAGATACTCCCTGTGATTCAGACTTTGTTAAAAAAAAAAAAAAAAAAAAACTGGCAGGAATCGTGATCTTTGACTCTCGCAGAGCATCCAGTTTAATTTTTAGCGAGAGTTCAGATTAAAACCCGCATTCGTTAGGATAAGAGTTTCTAGCCGTGAAGCATTTTCTGCATCGCCTTGTTTCCTGGGAGTCTGTAAATTTCCATCATATTCCTGGAGCAGCCCACACACAGAAGCTTAGTTTTGACCCAGAGGATGGAGCATAATAAATGTTCTCAGCCTTAAAACGCTCCCACACCTCTGCAGGTGCCCTGCAGCTTATCCAAATTCACTGTCACCCATTAAAGCAGCAAATGGATGTTATGAACAACAGCTGAAGGGCCCAAATACATGCAGAAATGATGGGTGAATAATTACACTCCTTTTTTTGTTGTTGTTTTAATTTACACATCACAAATAGATTTCAGCATTTAAGCTGAAAAAGTTGAATTTAATAAGAAAAAAACACAATCACAACTAACTGAGTTACTCTGAAATAATAAACAAAATTAAGGTGTTCTGCTTTTTTTTTTTTTTTTGTGCCAGGTTCTGTGGGCCCGGGTGACTCAGCTTCTATCAACACCAAAGAGCCCGAGCCTTTCTTCCCTTTCGGACTCCATTATAATGTCATCGGAATAACATGCCTGCTCCATTATAGTGATCAGATAAATCATCAGAATGGAGGACTTTCAGCACAGTCTTCCTGCTCATCACGGTGGGCAGATGTTAACATTAAGCCCCCTGAAAGCACTGGGGAAAGGGGAACTCTAATATGCATAATCCTACCTCCTGATGTTCCCATCAAGAGACTCAGAGTGTGATGCACATTATTCCACCAAAGCCCTTCGACACGGAGAACAGGATCTTTCCCCAGGTTCCTCCCTAAGCCCGACTCTTGTGTGTTCTTGATAACTAGGCGAGAGTGATATCAAAGGAACAAAGCTTCTGTGATCACCGTTAGCTGCAGCAACCAGACTCCTTCTTCTTTATTTATTTATTTTTTTCTCCTTTTGCCCATTTTGTCCGTGAGGGCACTGTATACACGTAGAGAAAAGTCGCTCACCTCTGTTCTGCCTTTTTTCTTTTCACCTTCTATTAAAACGTGGGGGGTGTTGGGTGTTTTTCCACAGCCTGGAAACTGCAATGAGCTGTCAAATGACTTCTGCTGCTCTGATTTAAATAGCTCAGTATTCTAATGGTGCTTCAACATGTTCATTAGGTGGGAAAAAAGGAAAGTGAGCCACGCTCATGCAGGATGTGAAAGAGAAACAGAGAAGAATTGATTTCTATTTAAGACATCCCAGACAAAGTGAAAAAAAGGTACTTTGGAGGAGTGATTACCTCTGAGCTTGACGTGTTGCAATGGGGAAACTCGGTAAAATGTGTTGCGTGTGTTAGTTTTTAAACACGTGTGTGGATAAAGCGATTATAACAGTGCATTATCTATCTTAGCTGTTACGTACAGAACTAGAAACTCGCCCTTATCTTAATGAACATCAAATAATTTCTATTTATAAATATAACCAAGTGACAATATCATTTTTATTCTTTTTTCTTTTCTTTGTTTAACTGAATTACAAACCTAAATCTGCCAGGGGTACGGCTAGTTTTGGACTTCACTGTAATTTCTTTAGATTTTATTTTATATTTTTAGCTTCTTTTTTTTTCTTCTTCAGAAATGAGTGTTGCATTGTGGTGCAGGTGTTAGAGTGCTGCTGTTTTGCAGCAAAAAAAAAAAAAAAAAAAAACTTTTAGGGGTTCAAATCCCTGACTAAGTTCCTTCTGCTCTGCCCCTGCATGTGTGAGTTCTCAGTGTTTTCTCTTTCCACAGATACGCCACCAGTTTAAATTTCTCTTAGTGTGAGCATGTGCATTCTCTGTGTTGACCTCTGGCAGTCAGATGACCTACCAGCCCTCAATGGTAAGTTAACATAATTTGAGCTTTTCTAGCAGCCAATCATATGCACACCACAAGGGTTCACCGTCGAATCCAGGAACAATCAACATGTGACAAGAGGATCTGGAATTGAACACACAACTTTCCATTTGCTCTAGCCCATTATTTGCCCCATTTTTAACTAATTTATTAATCACATTGAAAGGAAGCAAATTGAAAACAATGAGTAAATAACTGCTGGTCCAAATCAAACTGCTGGTCCAAATCAAACAGTGCACAAAGTGCTTAATGTGTAAAAAGTTTAACAAGCATCTTTGTGTTCAGTCATGACAATTTTTTTCTTTTTCTTTTTTTAGCTCCCTTGAAAAAAATGCTTGTCCGAATGAACCGCTGTGCTGTTTTTGAAGCTGCAACTGCTGTAAGATGGCAGAGGTTCTGCGTTCGCCTTGGCCCCAGTCTGTCTGCCCATTAGATGGAAAACTGGTTAGAAAATGCCAAACTCGTGCCAAGAAAGACATGATGAGGCCTGGAAGAATGTAGCCTGAGTGGTCCGATGAGGAATGAACAACTCAAATGGAGGTGTAAAGATTATACGGACAAAACCAGAGGAGGAGGTTTTCTGGTCCAGCAGCTTCAGGCTGAGACGTTCTGAGAAACAAGAGGCTGTTTGTGAGCAGCAGCTCTCAGGAGTCCAGCACTTGTGAGGACGAACCTCAGCATTTAATGTCGTTACTTCCCAGAGAAACTTCTCCAGGTTGAAGTTTCTCACCGAGAAACTTGGGCCTGTTTGTGTCGCAGAAGGACATCTTCCACTCCATCGCAGTGAGCTTTCAGAAACCTTGACGTTCTTATAGTCCTTAAAAAGTGTTAATTATAAATATTTCTTCAGGCTTTCTGATGGCTTTTGCAGGGTTTTTTTTGTGTGTGTGTGTGTGTGTGTGTGTGTGTGTGTGTGTGTGTGTGTGTGTGTGTGTGTGGACATGGCTGCTTTCCCCTTCGTTTTTAGTACGTATCTTCTCAGAATAACATGCAGAATTTAAAAAATAAACATGAAATAAATTTTGTTTTTTTTGTTTTTTCTTTTCATTTTACTTTCAATTTTGCATCTGAGTTTCTCTCAAATATTCCCCCTATAAATAGTAACGTAAATTATTGCAATCAACATTTTTGTTTATTTTAAATGATTGACAGTGTTAGCTAATTTTCATATTATTATTTCATTAAACAACCCTGCTTATTGCATATTGGTTCTATTACTCTCTACAGTTGTATCTTTTACTGCCTTCATGATAGCACAGAGTAGTTACTGGTTTTGTTTGACTTGATCCAAAGGCAACATCTTTATCTGCTATGCAGCAAATTAAAATGATATTGAGCTCTGATGCTATCCTAACCAGATTACAGTGTGTTGCCGTTGCATCGGTTCAGCTTCTTCAGGCAACAGGTAGGCTTTTCGTTTAATTAAAAATAAATTTAAACTGCAACCTTGATCTCAGAGTTAAACTTTTATTTAATTAGATTCGCTGTACCTCAGTTATTAATGCCTCTTTGGCGTTTTCACATTTTGTCACGATAAAACCACTAAATTAATTGTGTTTTATTTTGATCTTATTGTGAAAGACTGACCCCAAAGCAGTGTGTTATTACGCATCAGGGGAAGGAAATGATGCGTGGTCTTCTAAATATTTTACAAGTAGCGGTGCCCTTCTGTATTCATTGCAAAAACCTTTCCGTTGCTGATTGCATATTCCCTGCAATCACAGCAGCAATCTTTTTTTGGGGGGGATGGTGCATTTATAGAATTACATTTTTTGCTGATTCGTCTTTGCAGATTTGCTCCACTTTAGTCAGACCGCTCAGTTAAATACTGAAAACATACATGTGTCAAGTGTTGCCACATATTTTCAGCTTGGCTTGGCTCTGGACTTTAACTTGACCATGTTAATACATGAAGATTATAAAAAATAATAATGATAATTCAAAAAGGAAATACGACTGTGTTTTTAGTGTTGCTTTCTTGCTGTAAAATGAACATATATTTCAGTTTCAAATCGTTTGAGGCACAAGCAGGCTTCTCTCCCAGAATTTGTCCTGTTTTTAGCCACGTTTCCCTCATCAATACTTACCATTCTCCCACTCTGTTCATACTGAAGATAATTGTCCTCCCACCACTTATGCTGCCACCTCCATGTTTCAGCATTGTTTTGTGGGCAGTAGTAGCCTTTTTAGAACACAAAGCATTCAACGTCTGAGCAAAATGGTTCAACTATAGTCTCATCTGGCCAGAGCACCTTTGCAGTGTCACCTGCAGATTCTATGGCAAACTTTGGATCGGTCCTCTTGTGATTTTAAGCAATTGCATCAGTTCTAATCTCCCTGAAAGGCCAAACGGTGAAGCCTTTCAGGGAGTTGACCTGCTGACGGATCCTCCAGCGGACTGTGGCTCTCCCCTTGGCTGCTTGTCTCCTTCTGTGGCCTGCCTGCTAAATGACAAGCCAGATCTTTGTTGGCTTGTGATTTTGCTGTGCTTTTGCACATTTTTAGGATTGTACTCTGAGATGCTCAATATTTGTTCATCACTTAACTCGGCTTTAGTCTTCTACACAACTTCATCCTTTACTGTTCATCCCTTCTGTCTTCCTTGGTCTTCATTATGCTGTTTGTTCATTTATGTTCTCAAACTGTTTATTCTGCACTGAGTTGGGCATAATTCACTTCATATTACTGTATTTTTTTTAATTATTGTTTATTTCTTCACCAAATTCAATTACCGACCAAAATTTTAGTAATAATAATAATAATAATAATAATAATAATAATAATAATACCTCAGCCATACAGGGGAGAAAAAAATACATCTTGAAATAGAAACAGCATATTGGCAATATCAACATCCTACAGAGAGATCCAGCCTCACTCACCATATGTTTTATTCATAGTTTTAACCTTCATATAATGTAATTTGGCTACCGGTTCGGGCCACACCCTTAACGCGGTCTGAAAAAATAAAAAAAATAATAAATAAATAAATAAATAAATAAATAAACTAAAAATCACGTCAATTGGTCTCCTCGCGCAGTCGTCACTCCGCATCGTCCCACCTCCTTCTTGTCTCCTCCGGGCAGCAGACGTATATAAACACGGCTGATCCATCTTCCTCCAGCTTACCCAGTAACATCACGATAACCATTACGTGGAGCTCAGATGGGAGGGCTCAGATTGTGGCTGGTTTCTGTAAGAAAGAGAAGCTCGGAGAGAGAGAGAGAGGGAGAGAGAAAGAGAGAGAGAGGCGCAAACAGTAAAACAGCTCAGGCCTCGGATGCTCAGAGGTTCGTCGGAATAATTGAACGGTGAGTGTATGATTGTTTTTATTGTGATTTATTCCACTGAAACAGTCCGGTTTGCTTCTTTTAACCGCCACAACTGTCGTCTTTTTAATTTATATATATATATTTTCGACCAAACGCGATTAAAATCAGTTTACCAAAAAGGGGGTGGAAAAAAAGTGAAAACGCTGAAAGCGTCTTATATCGACACACGACAGCCCGTATTTCCTCTCCTTCCTTCCTGCCTCGCGTGAAGAAAAAGTGTTTATCATGTCGTCATGTGTAGCTGTGATTTGAGACGGAGGATGGGGGGGGGAGGTAAAGAGGAAAAAAATAGGCAAACAAACATATAAACACTTCCAAACCGCGGCGCATTTTGTAATCCCGGACAGGAGAGATGTGTTGGCCCGTTTTTGTTTTTTTTTTTGTTTTTTTTTAGCCTCCTCAGAGAAAAGTTGGGCGCAGCAACAGGTGGCATGTTGTCTCTTTTCTTCCCGGGCCGAGGCGAGGAGATGGAGGAATAGTAGGGCGTCATTCAGCACCGAGACACTGGACAGCTCCCACGTCTGTGGCCAGTCGTTCCCCTCCCTCCAAGCTGCCGATCCGGTGGGAACAGCAGCTTCATCTGGGAGTTATTTTTCAGCAATGTTTGGACTTATTGCTGGTCACCGTAGCGCGTCCATTGATTTCACGACCTAGCTTAAAAATCAAATTGATTCTTTTTTTTTGAGCAGATGTTTTCCTTCTTCCAAGGAAGTTGCCTAATTTGCTTTAAATCGACACCAAAAAAATAAATAAGTTGGTTAGTCTTATAGATTATCTCTAAGCAGGTTTTTCCTTTTCGTACAAATTGTCTCTCTTTTTTTTTCCTAGTTTGCACTCAAGGACCCCCCTTCTCCTCCGCCTCCTCCTCCCCTTTTACCCTCTTGCCTCACTTCCTTCCTCTTACTAAACTGGCCCCTATCTTCCCATCCCCCCACTCCCACTCACTCCCAGTCTTGTTGCATAGCTACCGACTCAAACACATACTGGGGATGCAGGACGTTCTCCACGTCTGTTCTCTCTCTTTCGGTCCAAATGTGTCCTGGTAGACAGAGGAGCACACACACACACACAAAAAGCCCCTCCACGAGCTTTCAGCTGTGCACCGTGTTAAGATTTCTGTGCTGTGATCCGCTTTCTCTGTTTCCGTGTCCCACCACCCCTCCTCGCAACCCCCAGCACCCCTCCTGTCTCGCTCTTTTGAGAGGAGCTGAAAGGTTGGCATTAAAACAACAAAGGAAGGATGGAATGTCAACAGGCTTCAGAGAGAAATAGGTTGAGGGAAGCGCAGAGATGGAGATTGCATGTACCGTTTCCATCTGCGACTAAAGTTCACAACCTGACACGCTGGGAGCTCGTGCTCCGCAGCACCGCCGACACACGCTGTGTGCGGCAAATGCCTCTAATTCTTGAATCCACTCTGTGGCACACATGAAGCCATCGGCTCCTTAATGAGAGAAGGAAAAAAAAACAGACTCAAGTTTCCAATCTCCTTGTTTTTCCTTCTTCTTCTTCTTCTTCTTCCAGCGCAGACTGAAGCACGAGGATGAGGACCCAGTCAAGCCTGGGATGAAGTATTGGTGATGCTGAGTGGAAGACTAGTGATTTTGTTGTGATGCTCATCAAAGAACAACAAGTCCCAGTCTACCTCTCAGCACAAGCAAGTGCCCTTCAGTATGCACCACCTTTGCACCCCTGCACGCACAGTCGGCGCTGACGTTAATGACAAGATTTCCAGTTTTTTTTTTTTTTTCCACCAGCAAGCTGCCCTTTAAAATCCCCCCCCCCCATCCCCCCCACCCCAAAACGCTCTGATTTAGTCCCTACGCGAACCAGCATTCAGTAATGTTAATTACCGGCAAAATTGCAATCAAAAAGGATAATTTAGGCATGGTACTGAATCGTGCGGTGAAAGCTGCTCAGGGAAAAACTGTAATTATGTCATAAAGTGCCTTGTAAAAAAATAAATAAAAAAATACAGGGAAGCAGCTTTGTTCTATTGTATTCCTCCCATTTATTCAATAACCTTGGATGAAACGTGTGTTTTCAGTTCGTTATGAAGTAAAATAAACCCTTAAAAGTTTCATGTGTGTTCCAGATGTTTTTTTTCTTTTTTTTTTTTTTCACTTCAGCACCAACACTTTCGCGACAGCATTATCAGAGGAAACCCAACAGGAAGGTTTTATGTGCATTTAAACGCGCAATCATTCATTTTATCTAAAGGAGACCTGAGCTGTAGTCATGGGTTCACTTTTAGCATCACTTATAGTAATGCAATAGATCACACATCAATAGGAGGGCCCACTGTGAACTGAGGAAACAGCCTTTCCTGTGCTGGAAATGATCAAGTTGTAAAACTAAAATTTGCAGATTTGGTGAGAAGATGTGCAACCAGCAGAATAAGACATCAGAATGTGTGAATATGCACACATGAGCAAAGGCATGGACGTCACATGTTAGCCAGAGAAAGTAAAAAGCGATGAAGATACAGAACGAGTCTTATTTTTGTTGCCTTTTTTTGTTCCACACAGCCAGTATTCAGTCTGCATACAAGGCCTGCAGTAAGGCTACATTAATATCTGTAAACAGACTTGAGCAAACATCAGATATCTGCTGAAGATGAGAAGCAGAGCGCGCACGCTGCGATCGCTACTCTATTGAACATAGTCGCCTTTTAACCTTGCTTAATGTTAAAAATGGTAAAGAAATGACACCCAGTGAACAGAAAAACAACCATAGGTGGCAGGTGGATGTTTAAAGAAGTCTACTCATCCCACTTTGCAAAAATACATAATGTACTTGTCTGTCATAAAGCTACCAGGGATGAAAAGGGAACAAAAGGGCAGCCTAAATACACAAAATCCTCATTCCTGTATGAGCTGTGGCTTGAGGCTATAGAGATTAATTTGAAAACATACCACATATACTTACCTTTGCTCGTTACCAGGAAACCTGCATGACTGAGCTGACAGTATCCCAGTCTTTGTTATTCCTAATGAACACGGTACCAAACCCGCCTTTGCTGACCAGGAGACATGCACTTCTTCTACTACAACCTAACAAATCCTAAAAATCTGGGGTTGATTTATTGAAATCTAAAGCTAAGAGGAGCTAAATACAAGCAACGTTTGAGCAGTGAAAGGGCATCATCTCCAGTGACACTGAAGGCTAAAGTCAGCCTCTCTCTGAGGTCGACCCGTGTCAGCGCCTTCAGCTCTTTTCGCTAATAAAAGCTCGCAATGATAGAATTAAAAATGCATCTCAGCAGCATCTCCTGCACACTGCACCCTGTAAGTCTTCAGATTGGCAGCATCCTGGTTTTTCATATATATAAAAAAAAAATAGGGACTGGCTTCCGTTGCTAAGCAACACAAAAGAGTCAAGTGCATTTGTTTATCGGCCAATAAGAACGTGAGTATAGTTTCAAGGTTTTTGAGGAAGGCCCTGTAATAATAACATGAAAAAGAGGAGGAGGACTGATCCATAGATAGCTTTCATACCCAGCCTGGGAATGTATAGATGCGTGTACATACATATGCATATGTATCACTAAGAATAATGCATTAACACCATCTGTCTTTTTTTAAATGCTATTTTTATTGCAGGAATTGACATTTGCAAAGTAGCAAATGTGCAGCAAAATTTGTTGCATGATGTCTTTTAAGAAAGGCAGATTTACCTCTAATATTTATGCGTCTCTCTGATGATTGATAAGATTTGCTACGCTTTTGAAGAATCGAAAAATGTAAAGGGGAGAAAGGTCAGTAATGCCTGCGACAGACTGGCGACCTGTCCAGGGTGAACCCCTCTTGCCCGAAACGTTTGCTGGAGATGGGCACCAGCACCTGGATGGATGGATGGATGGATGGATGGATGGATGGATGGATGGATGGATGGATGGATGGATGGATGGATGGATGGATGGATGGATGGATGGATGGGTCAGTAATGCAGTAATATTTAAAGTCATCCCACAACATTTCATTTGGAAAAGTCCTAATTCTGACTTGGCCACTCCCAAACCTTCACTTTCTCCTTAAAGATTTCCCAGTAGGAATTGCCAGAGTTTTATGGCTACAGCAATTCATCCACAAACCATCACAGCACCACCCCATGTTGGACAGCCAGTACAGTGGACTTTTTCTTAAATAGTGTGTTCACTCTTCCATCACCGGCTAAAATGTCCCACTTTATTCTGACACGTCTACGCAATATTTCCCCGAATGTCTGTATTCGGTAAATGTAAATGTATGTATTTTTGTAAATGTGACAAAAACGTGATTTCCACCTAGAAAAGCTCAAGGAATCCCATTTTTTGCCCAATCTCTTGTGAGGCTTGCAGTGCTTAAATGTTGTTCTGGGTTCATTTACGACCTCCTGGATGAATCTTCAATGTGCTTCTGCTGTGCCAGTTTCCGTATGCCTGCCATCAACGAGAAGGTTTTGGACATTAAGTTCAGCATGGTTCACTGGAATCTCTTTGGGAAACGAATCCCAAAAATATTCATTTGTTTCTCTCCTGTTCTCTAATTTCTTTATATCAGAGCATCATATGTAGGTTTTTGAGAATTTTTAGCCTACTTCATGTTGTCAGACAGGTCCTGTTTAATCAATTTCTTTATTCCGTAGATGCCGTAGTAATCAAACCTGTGTGGCTAGTAAAACTGGACCCCTAAAAGTTTGGGTAATCACAGTTAGTCCACTGCGGCTCAATGTTGGTGTCTTACAATTGGAAGGTTGTAGGTTCAGTTCCTGCTTCCTCCTGTCACATGTTGGTGTTCCCCTGGACAAGCCACGTAACCGCATGCTGCCTGCCTATAAATGTGTTCATGTTTGTGAGTGAATGCATTTGTAGTGTATAGACTGAAATAGGTGCTACATAATTTTAGTCCATTTACCATGGGGGTCAATTATTTGCTGACGATGGGGCTTTTTACTTTCTCTCCGTAATAAATGAAATTACTTCAAAGACGTATTTTGTACACTGCTCAAAAAAATAAAGGGAACACTCAAATAACACATCCTAGATCTGAATGAATGAAATATTCTCATTGAATACTTTGTTCTGTACAAAGTTGAATGTGCTGACAACAAAATCACACAAAAATCATCAATGGAAATCAAATTTATTAACCAATGGAGGCCTGGATTTGGAGCCACACACAAAATTAAAGTGAAATGTTCCCTTTATTTTTTTGAGCAGTATATTTTCACAGTCCATCATGACCAAAAGCAAGAAAAGAAGAAATCTGTTAGACTTTTTCACAGTACAGCACAAATGGATCTTCTTCTTCTTATTATTTTTTTGTTTTGTTTTGTCTCAAATACAACCCAGTGTTGGGAGACTCAAACACAAAAGACAGAGCCACAGTCGAAGATATGCGTGCAATTATGATGTCTAAACAATAAAAGCTGTTGCTAAGAGCTCTGGCAGATGGCTTCATGAGAAAAGGCAACACTAGTAACTAGTGATGGACGTGTAAAGGGAAGTGCACAACAGGTGACAAAATTACATCATGCACATTCTCAAGAGCGCGGACCTTAGGCAACCCGTGTGCTCCCTGCTTGTTTTCATTACGAGCTGGGCGTACAGCCTGGTGTGATGGTATGCCAACTGTTCCCCGATGTCTGCACCGGCACCCGTCGCCAAAGCCCCTGGCACCCAGTAGAAACTCCGGGGGTGGGAAGAGGCAGTCAGCATGTGGCTACATGTGAGATCAGGGAGATCAGGAATCAGGCGAGAACATGTCGACATTAAAGCAGGGCTGACATTTGATCGGCAGAACAACGCTGTTATCAAACGGGGAGCTCCTCTGAAATGGCAGATTGCGTGCGATGTTAAATCAGGACAGATATCTGAGCCAGGTCATTTCCAATAACGCTCCGTTAGCCACAGGAGTTTAAAGTCATAACGGTCGAGCTTTTCTGACCAAACCATGAGCTGCAGTCAGCACAAAATGCTGCTGATTTTCAAAAAAGTTTTTCATGTGACTCCATTGCTAAAGCAACTTCATTGGCTCCTGGTGGACAACAGAGTGCATTTCGAGGTCAACATCTCTGGACGACTACAGCTTTGACCCCCGTCAGTGAACCCATGACTCCAAGACTTTGGAGTTCCCTACCTTTGGCTCTCAGATCCATGCAGAAGTGGTTCTGATCTACTACAGCAGGTACACGAGTACCAGATTGGATCCTTTTCCCCTTTCAAACTGTATCTTCTATGGTATGAATTCAACAGGACCTGGATAACAACCCTCTGAGATTTTGGTTCACAACGACGTGGTTGAACATTTATGACAGTCGACCCACAACCTTTGCATTTGGAGTACAGACCTCACTATCTCCCAGTCCAATAGAGATTGAGTGAGAACAGTAAATATGCAAACTGGCTCCCTGAGAGTCAGACAGCCCATATTTGATCCAATTTTTCAGCTCCATCGCAGTTTGTCTGGTGCTGAAAGTGGACAGAGTAACGCTGATTCTGAAACTTTGTGTTGTTTTCCTTGTTTTGCATAAAAATGTACGAAAAAGAACTTAGAACTAGGGATTAAAATCTAATAAAATAAACAAAAAGGTGACTTTTTTAAACATTTAATCACTTTTGGTTTTGTTCTAAGTGCTTCTTTCTTCATTAATAAACTTTTGGTTAACACGTAGTCTGTGGAAAAATTAATCAGTCGTATATTTGTCTTGTGTACATTTCTTTTGTTTGATTATTACATTTTGTTGCGCCAGTTTATTGATCAGTATCCAATGATCTTTTTGATTTTGCTGAAAGGATAGCTACCTTTTTCATTACTTTATATTACACAGCAAATATCCAGATTCTTCTTTATATGTGACAAATGGAAAACCATTTATAATTTCACACTGATTTTGAATAGAACTAACTGGTCTATAAACATTAATGTGATTTAACCTACCTTAACATCGCCACTCAGAGAACAATTAAAAACAGTAAAAGCTAAAGAAAATATATACAATTTGACAAAGCAAGACATTGAAACAGTAAAAAGTATAACATATACCAAGTGCAGAAGTGAAATGACAAAGAGGATGTATATGGACTCCAAGTACATAAAAT